TACCGGCCCAGGTACGGGCACGTCTGCCCTGCACCGGCACGGGGCTGGGGGCTTTGGGCTGGGGCTGCTCAGCACGATGCTCACCCATGCCCGCCCCGCGCCCCGGGTACATCCCAGCCGGGCTGAGATTCTTCCAATCACCCTTTTTTTTCCCCCATATTTTTCATTTTTGAGCGACTCCTCCGCTCCTTTTCCTTGCTCTCCATGTAATAGCACAAATGAGCTCTACTTACTCACCTCGGCAAAGCTGCTCTGACATGGATTGGATTGAACTGAGCGGCTGTTTGAAAATGGAAACTCCAGGGACTATTGTCATCGCCCAAATTGCACCTTAGATTGTATAACAGCACATGTCATCTGGCCATTTATCAGGAATATTACATTCCCAGGCACTTGCACCTTGCTACGATTTAACTTTGTCTCTTTGGCCAGCGCTGCGATTCCACTGGAGATAATTCAATTGCTCTGAGAGCTGAATGGGCGCCTTGCACACTGGCTTCGTGTTGCTCTGCCGCAGGTACGCAGGCTTTGAATAGGAGACTGAAAGCACTTGTACACCCTGAACATTCGTTAATCCTTCCTTTTAACGAGAGAAGGCCCCGTGCAGGGAGGAGCTGGAGGCTCTGTTGCTGCAGTACCCACCCCATGTCCTCTGTCAGCTCCTCCTGGGCTCCTCTTGGCTTCCAGCTCTTGGGCATCCGTCCTGTCTCCCTGCTTTTCTGGCCAAGAGCTTTCACGGTGGGATTGGGAAGTGCTGCGGGTCTCAGCTGAGCAGGCACCAGGGCACTCAGCCCCAGGAATTAGGGCAGCCCCAGTGTTTTATGTCACCTCCCTGCTTCTTGTGTCACTGTGCCGATGTCCCCGTCTCCCGTTCCCCGCAGCAATGATGGCTGTGTGTCTGCTCGTGGACGAGCTGCGGGTGTTTTTGTCTCTCCCACCAGGTCTTCCTGCAGCTACGGGTTCTCGGCAGGCCATTGCCTGGCTCGGAGCCCACAGGCAGGGCATGGGGCTGGCTGGGGCTCGTTGTTAGTTGCCTTGGTACTGGTCTGCCGAGGTGCAGGTAGAGCAGGTTTGAAATCTAGAGCTCAACATGCTGTACTTTTGCTGTACTTGCTGAGGAGCATATTTATTCCAGGGGTGGGATGTTGGTTTTATTTTATTTCGTTTTTGCTATTTTAGAGCCTACGTTTGGCAATGACACATTTTTCCTGCCAAGCCTGACTTTGGGATAACTGCTCACCTCTTCATGGCAAGGCTTCTGCCAGGATGTTTTGTTCCTGGGGAACATTATAAAAGTGACCCTGCCCTAAGGTGCTCCGAAACGAGATTCTGGATTTGTGCTAGGTGAAGGCAGACTGGCTGAAAAATGGACATTGCTGCTGCGGGACCGGCACACATCGTGTGCCAGACTGCACAGCCATCACCCGTGCATGGCATCTGCGCTCGGGCGAGCTGTTCAGCATCTCTCTGGACAGCCCCTGTGTGACACGGGTGTCCCTACAGCCAGATTTGCAACAGCACTCTCCCCACCGTATGTGCACGATGTGCTTGGCTTGTTAGAAAGCCCAGCCCAGCTCAGGGTGGCTTGCAGAGCCCTGGGCCATGGTGTTCCCCTTCCCCAGCCTGTGCCAGCCGGCCGGGGTTCCTCCAGTGAGCGGGGCAATGGGGCTCCTCTGAGACCCCTCTCCAGGATGAGACATTTACTCCGTGGCTTGTGCAAAGCAGTGCTGAAGCTGTGGTGATGTTCACCCAGCGCTACCCTTCCATTCTTTCCTCCTCCCTTTACCTCTCACCTGGCCCTGTCGGGCAGCAGTTTCACGCCAGCTTGCTCAAACCCTGCCATGGGTACGCTGGGCACGGAGATGGGAAGCTGCCTATTTTGGCTGCCTGCCACTCATCATGTCGTGCGTGGTGCGGTGGTTATTGCCTGAGCTTTGCTCCTTGCGTTAAGAACACTTTTTAGTGCGGACAGTAACAATCGTATTGACTAGGGCAGGTCTAGGGCTATAAAAGAATTTCCTGTTGTCCTATTTCCGATTGTTAAAGTGGTAAAAAACAAGACAGAGCAGTACAATAAAGAGCCTGTGAATGTGAATGGCCATCCTGGGTGCTGTTAAGGCTGGGTGAGTCAGATCTGGCTGCGAAGGGCAGCGCCAGGAGCGTGCCCGGCGGCTCCGTACCTGCCTCTGCTTTGGGGCAGCAGCTGCTCCTGCGCTGGAGGGGAGGATGCGAGGTGACAGCCCTGGGATCAGCACGCTGGAGGACCCAGACCCCTCCGAGATTGTCTTCTTTGGACCTGGGATAGCGGAGGAGTGGTGTGGTTGTTTGTGTGTATCAGCAGGGCAGGCTTGTGGTGTAAAAATAGTATTTTATATCAACTACAGGGTTAAGACAGTGATGGGTGGGTAGGTGAAGATCCTCGTTCTGCCACGGAGAAGTGGCTGCTGCTCAGGGCTCTGTGCTGGTCCCTGGGTCTGCTGCCAGGTCAGGGCTGGTCTGGGCAGCCTGGACCCGCGTTGTCCCCGAGGGCAGGATGATTTCTGGCTGCAGGACCTGGTCTCTGCAGACCAAAGCGGAGATGTGTGGTGGGGATAGGAGCGGGGAGGCAGAACGTGCCGTGGAGCTACCTATTGTCTTCAGATAAAAAGGATGAAACAGTATAATTTAATGTAATACTTTTCATCTCTTCTCCTGCCTGCATTTCAGCTGCCACTGGTGTGACTTGTAGACAAGCATCTTGGTGTCCAAAGCTGATCATCTCCCCAGCAGATAGGCACCATGCCAGTGATCTTTAATAAAACTTCTCTTAAAGCACAGGTCCCTTTCTAGGATTCGTGGAACATCCACTTGCAGTGCAGTAATCAGTCAAATCCTCGATTTGTTTTAACTATAAATTGTACCAGCTTGGAATAAATGGGTCAAGGCAAGACAAACCCACCTGTGCTCCATCCGGAGTGCGGTTTGCTGCGGCTGCGGTGGATGTGGGGCTGAGCCCTGATCCTGGGCGAGGAAGGTGAGGAGCAGCAGCTCCTCCCGTGCCTTCCTGCACTGGACCAGCCAGCCCAGCGCGCACCCAGGTCCGGCGTTTCATGTTTGTGGAGAAACCGAAGTGATGTGTGCTCCAGCAACATCCCCAAGGTCACACAGCACAATAAATCAGTGTCTCATCGGGGATGAGAACCCAAGATATTTCTGTAGCCCCTCCAGCCATCACCAAGTCCTTTGCTATCACAGCCAGACTACACAACTTTGTACGCCTCTAGCACCCTTTTGAAGTTAAGCTGTGGATAAATAGGCAGACAGCAACACTTTCTGGGCAATTTTTCTTTTTTTTTTTTTTTATTTTATTTTGCTCAAATACTTGAAAGTAAGAGAATCAAAGTATAAGAGCATGGGCTTTTAGATCTCGGTGCAGGTTGTTCTGCATGTAAGGCTCAGAGCATCCTTCTCTCAAACTGCTGTAAAGGCAGCTGCCGAAACCCAGACCTCCTACACAGGCCGCCCAGCGCCGTGC